TCACTTAACGTATGTCAACCATCAGATAACTTATCTGTAATTATGACCCACGTATGAGCGTCTGCTGGGGTTCAGCGTGCTCATAACTTATACAAAACGTACCCATAACTTATTCCACGTATTCCGTCGTTTTTTGTTGTTTTTTTTTGCCAGATTTTTCCTACGTCAGGCATCCGTTGGTCTAAATTGTCAGGGTGTGACAGGAGCTTTAAAAGCAGATTAGACCTCTGCAACCGCACACATCAAATGTCGCTTGGGTCTGGTTTCGAACCAGTTTTGCTGGTCTGCTTCTGACCCATCGGTCTGGAATTTCTAGGGCAGCAGTTTCCCGGCAGAGAGCTAGGGGGAGCCTATTCGAGAACTCGTGAGAACTTTGACTTTCGTAATAATGAACCTCCTCCATTAACATTTCGTCGTAGTTGTCCAGGGTTTCTGCGGGTCATTAAAAATTTGTAAAAGTCATTAAATTATATATTTTTTTTAATTAAGGCCTTAATTGGCATTAAAATTAATTAAATTTGATAATTGTGGCATTAAAATGCTTCGGAAAAGAAGCTTGAAGCGGAGAAAAGGTTAGATCAGGGGTCTTCAACGTTTTCAAAGCCAAGGACCCCCAAACTGATTGCGAGATGGAGCGGGGACCCCCTAATTATATATATTGTATGAAATTGTGTTCTATCAAACTGGTCCTATAGTCACTCTATTACAGATGGAGTAATGTAAGGAAAGTAATTCCTCCCTGGGATTATTAAAGTTTTTCTGATTCTGATTCCTGGTTGATGGGACAGGTGTTGTGAATGAAATGGTGCCCAGCTTTAAAGAGCTCCTGTGTGTCGCTGAATGTGAGCATTTTTTCTTTTTTTTTCTTTTTCTTTTATTCATTCATTTCATTGAATACAAAAAAAACAGCCTATCTAATTTTTGATATACTAAAAAATAAAAAATACACCTCCATCCATACATACCTACATATCCATCTGTATACATTACATACATATATACACACAGACATACTACATATGTATTTCAAAATTTTAAAAACAAAATGAAATGAAAGGCAGCAGAAGGAAGAAAAAAATCTTATATCTGCCCCTTTTTTCTCAGCTCTG